AGAACAATGGGTGAGAGGAGGGTTCCGAGCAAAGATGGACAGGAAGGAAGCTCTCGCTATCCTCGGGCTCAAGTGAGTTTTCTCTTCTTTCTGGTGCCATTTTATACAATTTCACGTCCGTCGTTAGGGATGGACCCCTGCTGCGAAATAAGATTAAGGATGCTCACCGACATATCATGCTTGCCAACCATCCAGATCGAGGCGGTTCACCGTATATGGCAAGTAAAATCAACGAGGCCAAGGATCTTCTAGACAAAACTGATGGAGGACGAGGTCGGTGAATGTCGTCCGCAGGTGAGCATGCTCCCAGCATCTTGAGTAAATCATAGATTGAAATAATATCGTGCTTCCTCAGTCTGCGTTACCACTGTATCATTATGTACTACGCTATTCAGATATAATTCTCAAATTGCACTGTTATCCTACTCCTCTCTTGTCATTTCGTTATGTCGTTCTAATGTTCTGTTTATGCATGCAAAGTTGCCCTTTGCACTTGCAGACTCTCGTGTCCCACATTGGGAGTCTTTCCGTATGCACCCTGTCGTTTGTCGACGGGCTCGCCATTTGGGCTCCAGATGTGGGCAATGGACGAGGTAGATGACTAAGCCAGACTTATCTTTCGCATGGCAGACTCGCTACAGCCCTCGAAGCTCGGGACAAAAGAACAGTACGCTTCATTATAATCGTGTTTGTCGTATTTTTACGCTAAACGTAGCACACGTTCAGCTGGAACAATGTTTACGCCGCGGAGCTTGATAACTTTGAGGAGATCGGCGATGAAGGGGAGATTTGGTGAGACCTTTCAATATATCCTCTGACTACTACTCATTACAATAGGTTTGGCGAAGAGAGCGTTGAAAGGATGGTCGATTGGGTAGCTGAAAACGTTCCGTCATCGTCTATGCCTTTTACGGTGGAAATTGGAAGTGGAAACGGAACTTTGCTTCTCGCACTAGCAGATGCTGGCTACGCCACCTCCCATCTATCTGGTATAGACTACAGTCCTGACGCTGTGAAACTTGCAACATCAATAGCTGCCAAACGCGAGAAGGATGTGACTTTCAACATATCCGATTTCCTGCAGGCAGATCCCCCGCTCTTGTCCCTTATGAAACCCAGCTCAGAAGGTGTTTGGGATCTCGTCTTGGACAAAGGAACATTTGACGCGATTGCGCTTGGTGCTAAAGATGAGAATGGCAAATCGCCGGCAACGAAATATCCTGGACGCATCGCTGAAATCCTCAAGCCTGGAGGACGTTTCCTGATCACTTGTATGTTATTTTCGTACTTTGCAAACATGAGCTCACTTAGTCTGTAGCCTGCAATTTTACGGAGGTGGAACTTCAGGCCATCTTCTCGACTAGCGAGACACGTCTAATGTTTCAGTATGTAACTCTGATTTGGATTTCGTGTGCAAATGCTAATGTACAACAGCTCTCGAATAGAACATCCGACGTTCGAATTTGGTGGAAAGAAAGGAAGCATCGTTTCAAGTGTTGCATTTCAAAAGATCGGACTGTGATAATACCTCTGGTTGATGTCCTAGTCGTTTCTGACCATACCCGGGAGTGAGAATTCGGAGTAAAATATTCACTGTTCGAGTAGTTCCGAAAGGAAAGGAAATCATTCGCGCTCACATTCGCGCTCACACAACACAAAGAGCACTTATGAGGTCGTCTTCAGGAAAGGTGCATCTTAATGCATGATGAACAGCTTCCGGATTCTCTGAGTCTTCTTTGGCCGTATGCCAATGACCTGTTTTCGAAGGATGTATACGGAAGACAAAAAAACCTCCCTAAAGGCCCGGTACTATGTCAACTCCCATCCTTAATGTGTCCTTAGCAAGCCCACTGGCCCACTTGATGAATTTTTCCATCTCTCCATCTTTGGAAGTATCAGGAAATGCTTCGGATAGGAAATACACCAGGCCTATGGCAAGAGTCTGGATTCGTGTGGCTTTGATGAAAATTTCTTCGATCACGTCACGACTTCGTGTAGCAGGAACGTCCTTCGCGTTCGAGGTAAGTAAAGGTGTTGTTCTTTGACTGCAGATAAAGATCTGAAGTAACATTTCTCGGAGAAATTCCGTTGTCGTCTTTTTTAGAGAAGTGAAGTCGACAGGCTAAGAAACAACAGTCAGAAACGAAGGACGATCGGAAGTACAATGCATACCTTGAGAATAGAAAGAGTGACACAGCCTTTTGCTATCCACCATCCATATGCCCGGGCAACGTTGTGCATCCTCGTGGGTGATATAATTTCGAGGTCAAATCCATTGTCATCTTTGAGATTCTTGATGAGTTCAGTCCCGCCAACCGAAGTCTCCCCAAGATCACGTAAAAAGTCCCATAAAGAAAATTGCAGAGTGATCTTGTATGAGTGCGACATGCGGCACAACTGTTGACAGACCAATGCATAGTATGGATTGTACGTTTTTTCCTGTGAAGAGATCAGTCCATTCGAAGAGAGAGAAAGACGACAAGAGGCAGCTTTACATTCCCACAACAATGCAGTAAGACTCGTACAATCTCACGTTGTTGGACTTCGGTGAGATTGAGCTGCGACAGCCTCTCACAAGCATCAACATAGTCCTGACGTAGAGTCCACTCAGCAAAGGCAAAAGTGCGAAACTACACAAACCAACCTCGCTACTCATGAGAACCACAAAAATACTTCGACGAATATCGGTGTTCATCCCTTGCTTTCGTGCCAGTCTCACAAGGTCACCAGCAGGATCTACGGCCTCCACCACCTTCACCACCTTGGAAGCTTTGATCTCGGTCTGACGATCGACAAGAGGGTCGCCACCCCAAGCAGCGCCGACGAGCCACCATTTTCCTTTCGTCTCGGCGTTATGTAGATCTTCGAGTGAAACTCGTAGCGGTTCGTGTGCAAGGACTAAAGAGTTGTTACCAAGAATGTGATGGCCAAAAATATCAACTTACTAGTTCGTTTTTTGCTTAAACCTATGAGGAACTTCTTCATCCGTTCGACAGAATCCGCTCCTTGATTTTGAGTGGCATTCCGTTTGGACCTGTTATTCTTGAGATTGGTGAGTGTTTCGATCATGAAACGAGACCTGGAGCTGTTATACAAAGTTTGAGTTGTGGTCTTCAAAAAGACATTGGGTTCTCTACCTCAGGGCGTCTTTCGTCTCTGGGACTTTGTCTTGTACAATCTGAACGATGTCCTTCAGCGCCGAAGGATCGTCTTGCCGTAGTTGCTGACCCGAATCTGTGATGGTAACATTTAGCAATGATATTGCGGGACAACACATGGTTTCAATGCATACTCCGAACAATCTTGAGAAGGAGTTCTACAACAAACTCGCTCAAACCAGCGTCCAACAGTCTGCGGATAATGTCAAAGACCAAGACAGAAGAGATGACTTGGAAGTTATAAAGCTCGGAAAGAAGAACGATCAAATTAGAGCACTCCTTTCCACCATCTTCTTCTTCTGCAGCAGCTTGCTGTGTAGAAAAGTAGCGTTCATATGAGGACACCACATTCTGGACAAAGTAAGCCGCTTCAAATAGGTGAGTTCGAGCGGAAACGGCATCGACCGTCGGTCTTACCAAATTCAATGCCGATAACTTTGTGCAAACTAGATACGAATGCAGCATAGAGAACAACATAAGAATCGAGCAGGGATGAGTGCGAGGAAATTCCGTCGATGATCAAGGTTGTAAGGCTCGTCGTGACATCTAGATTCAACATAAGCCTTCAAAAAAATCGTTTTCATAGCCAAGTTATTACCAATACGTCGGTTATCCCGATATATTCCCTCTATGCTATCCAAGATGGAACCCATGTTTTGTTCGCTCATGCTAAAAAGATGTAAGTAAAGCACATGTGCGAGAACCAAGTGGCCTACCGATTAAGAAGACCTTTGAGCTGCCTAGAAAGCCTGATCATTGATTCAGAAGGCTTCTCTTTCGCGTTTTCTTTGTTTCTCAGATGAGGAGGAACGTAGCGCGTTGCTGGAAAGGACAATGAGTGTATTTTATTGCCCATTTGAACTGGACTGACGGTTTTCATGAGCTCGTGGCAAAATCTCTGGAGGATTTGATACCTCTCTATCCTCTTCGTCTCCTTCAGCATCGCCCAGCCCATGCCACTCATCGTTGTCATCCTCTAAAGACTCTGACCCACCGCTCGGAGATTTCAAGTCATCGTCGTCCATATCATTATCCAACTCGTCGCCGACGTCGTCGTTCACGTCATCGTCCATACCAGCGTCCTCATCTTCATCCTTGTAAAGGTTAAAAAGGAACGGATTGACTACAGGACATACACACCTGTGGATTGACAAGAGTATCCGCGAAATCCAAAAGGTCTGGAACTGCAAGTTAATAGAAAAATGCAGTTCGTATAGACAGGACTTGCCATCGAGACCATCATCTTCTGCGGGCTTTTTCCGTTTAGTACCTTTGGTATAACCGAGTTTCGTCTCTAGGTATGCAATATACGCGTCGTCCTCATCTCTCCTTCGATCCGGTATTCGAGGAGCAACAGGTTGTGGTGCCACCTTCTCTATTGGTTTCTTCTTCACTGTTGGTGGTTTGGTCTCGGGCACAGGCTTCGGTACATCAGGTTGGTCAAGTTTTGCCTTTTTTCGTTGCGGCGAAGCATCATGCTCTTCTTGTTCAGCGGATCGTTTGTTGTATGCGTTGCCAGCAGAAAAGTACTCGGCCTTGTTCTTTTTGCGATTCTGACGTTGTTCCTTGCGTGCCTCTTTGCGAGATATCTTTGGCCTAGAAGGGTATCTTGTCCGCGGATGATCATTACCTGATATTGGGTCATGTTCCATCCAGACCGTTGGCCAATTTACGCACCGACGGATCCCTCAAGTTCCTCTCTTAACGTCTGGGGAAGACGCGTCGTCGATGACTTTTTCCGTACAGACATGAACAAAGTAGGCAAATTCTTTGCCCCGGATCAGACCCTGTAACGCCCGCAACCACACATCATAGGACGACGCCAGTGAATTTGTCACAAGGGCATTGGTGGTGTAATGGTAACATCGAGTCTTCCCATTTGGGACGCTTGGCTTGGCCCCGGGTTCGATTCCCGGCCAATGCAATCTTTTGTCTGTCGAGATCAGCCTTCGAATACCAGCACGCGCCTGAGCCAGCGGGGGGGAAGATCTCGTTGCGATCAAAGGTCAAGAGAATGGAATGGAACTAGCCAGCTATCCAGCCCTGGGTCTCAGCTATCCAGCCCTGGGTCTCCAAACATCACTACACCTGTTTCCTTTTTCCAGATTTCAGTTTTGCATTTTTCTGTGTGTCTCTTCTGATATTATGCTGCCCAGACAATTTGCCAGCTTCTGTACCCATCCAGGCCCTGTAGTAGCCCGTGACCAGCCTGCTCGTCGAACGTGAACAGGCTGGTAACGAGCCCACGTATACCTTTGTAGGGGATGGGTTTCGGACTGATTCCGCCGCTGTCCAAGAGTAGTGTCACGACTAAACGCCCACCGATCCCTCTACGAATACAAGTCTTGAGTAGTGGGCTGGTTTCAGTCTACGATCACTAGTATTTGCTTTGGAAACGGAAGACATTCGCCTGACTGCCAGTGAAATGAATTCAGAAGTCACAAGTACATAAATCTGCGTTCCAGGGCGCTTCTTAGGACATGATTTTCTCTCCGTTTTTCTTTCTCCCTTGATTTATCTTGTTTACGGATCGAAAAGTGTTCAAGTGCTTTTTGTGGTTTAAACGCTCCAAGGAAACGACCAGAATCGGAATGAACAAGAACGCATCGAAAGCGACCGAAGTTTGTTCACTAATACATGTCCTATACGGAGGCCGGGTGGACCGTCCGAACGTTTTACACATACAAGGATCAGTTGCAGCGTTATAGTGTGGAAGGTCCCAACATTGGATTTTCGTTTGTCTCAGCCCTGTATATTGGATTTGTAACGTGCTCTCTCAATGCATCCTCTTCGTCCTCCATCAACCATGGGCAGCAATCCGCGAGATAGTCACAACATTGTTTTGATGCTAAGGTCGCTTTAGGACAGTCCTGAGGGAGAAATCCAAGTATAAATAGTGGTAACGTATTGATCTTCCGGTACTTCTTTCCTCAAGTCTCATCTCTTGGTGTGGTCTAAGTGAGGTGAAAGTCCAGATCAATGGTTCTAGCTAGAATTATATTACCTCTCAAAGACATCCTGGAATCAGTCCCAGCACGGGGACGAGTTTACACCAAGAGATTCGATCAAACACGAAGCTGTTGTCTCTTGTAGGAGTACATATACGTGATAGTGTAAGACCACAGATTATCCAGTTTGCATAGTCTCCTTCATTCGTCATGAATCGATTTCTTCAACATGTCCGCCAGTTTCTCCGCCATAGCGTAGCACGCACCGCACTAAATCGCCCGGTCAACCAACAAAAAAGTTCCAGAAAAAACTCAAAAACTTACAGTATGCCCAGAAACAATCCAGGGGTAAACTGATGCGTCACAGACCCTCAATCCCTGAATTCCGTATACCCGCAGCTGAGAGTCGACAACGCCATTCATCTCCTGCGGAGCCATACGGCACGTACATGCTGGATGATAAACAGTCTCTACACGCTCTTTAACAAGTTCCAACATCTCCTCGTCTGATTTCAGGTGTGTTTCGTGATCAAGATCGGGGCGACGGAAGTCATGGTCGAGATGACTTGCAAGAGGCTCGGTCTGCGCAATTTTAAGCAAGAGACGAACTCCACGTATCAGTTTCGCCGCGTCTTCTGGCGCCTTCAGGTAGCTAAGAAGACTAGTCAGAAAATACTGACATCGGAACAGAAGAGGTGCGACATACTTGGGATTAACAATAGGAAGATCAAATGGGTTGGACGAGCGAAGAAAAACGGAACCCGTGCTCAACGGCCTATTTTCGACATCATTCATAATCAAATGGAAGAGTAGATTGAGAAAACTCGCACCGAACCAAATATACATGAAGCGCATAGGTATGGACGTCGAAGCCAATTTTTCCGTGCTCCTAAGAGATAATAATAAAATGAACGATAGAGAGCCGCATGGAGAGACTCCAGTCATCACCTTGTAAGCGAGCGGAGTCGTGAACAGCTCGAGATCGGGTGCCCCAGAACCAGATGTGCTATCTAAGAGAGTTTCTGGATATTGCTCCTTCGGGAAGAGAATGGGATCGTCGGATCGAACAAAAGCAGCAGATTCACCAAACTGTTCGGTCTGAGTAAGACGGACACTCGAAATCCAATTCAATAGAATGCTCACGTTAGTCGCCAGAGGGCCCCCCATACCGAGCAAGTGATACTGTATAAATGCGAAAAGGACCTTGAAGGTTTCAGAGGTGCTCTTGGGGCGGAAGTACTTCAATGAACGATCGTGCTTGTCTTTGAAATAAAGGTCGACCACGGGATGGTCAACGAGGTTAGAACCAACACCAGGAAGGTCATGCACAACAGAAATGCCGTGGGCTTTGAGCTCCTCAGCAGGCCCGATGCCGGACAACTTGAGGATCTAGAGCGTAATGATATCACTTGAGTAGGGTGCGAGCATGAGTCAGGATGTAGCCTACATGGGGAGATTGCACAGCGCCAGCACTAGAATGAAGCACATGAAGAGCGTGACAACGCACTCACATTCGCATACTCACCAGATAATGACCTCTTTACGTGCCAAAACACCATAACGTATTCCAGTGGGCGAATCTGAATTTGCAACATGGACGCCTATTGCGCGCTTCTCTCCATTCTCATTCTTGACGATCACCCGCGTAACTTGTGCGTTGGTTACAACCGTAAGATTCTTGCGTGCCAAAACATCTTGGGTGAGATAGGCAGACTCTGATGATACTCGTCGTCTCTTCTCGTCAATGTAGGTCACTTGAAAGTAACAGGTAAAAAACTAAGGATGTCACCAAAGGAGGATGCTCACTGATCTAAAACAGCGTTGAGATCGACATTTAGGGATCTTACGAAATTGACTCACCCGACTCACTCCCAGCGTGCCGCTGGAGACATTGAAATCTGGGCTAAAAGGGATACCGACTGTGGTACAAGCCTTGATGAAGGCTTTTGAGGCCTCTGAAACCGTGTTGAAGTACCCAATTCGGATGGGGCCTGAGGAACCACGGACGGCAGTGTCGACAAGAGGGTAATCGGGGTGAGGTTGATATCTTTCAAATTTGGTGAAATATCTACGCGCTGTCATGAATAAATTTGAGGATCAAGCAGCGAGGGTCCATACTGAGAAAAGTTCTTCCACGACCAAGAATCGTCGTTCATTAATTTTGCCCACTCATCGAAATCTTCTGGCGCGCCATACTGAGCCCTATATGATGGATGACGGATTCGATGTCATGAAGACCGTGAGAAGAAAAGGAGGCATACATTTGGGCATTAATAGAAGAACCTGTGGGATGGGTTAAGACGTCGAAAAAGCAGGAGTAGAAAAAGTCGGACATCCACCCAATAGCTTTGCTGTAGGTACCATGAAGAGTAAGTAACTAGGATGTACACAAAGGTACAACGTCACCTCGGGGCCAGAACTGTGTTCGACCATTGGCATGCAATTGAGGTTCTGTTCGGAAAGGAAGGACATGCTTCGTGTTGAATAGTCGGGAAAAGAGAGCGGGAGTTCGACTCTGAATGAGGGCTGTGCCACTGAGTAACGCGTGTCATTTTGTCGATGATGTAGAAAGAAACGCGCGAGGTACCTCTGACCGGCCTCCAACAAGAGTACTTTGATGGCAGGGTCTTCACTTAATCTTGCAGCTAGAGCACATCCGGCTGATCCTATAGCAAAGTTTAGACCTGAGACTACATATGAAAGCTGGAATTCGTGCCTCCTCCGACAACGATCACATCATACTGCCCGGCTCCTATGTGAGCAAGATTAGACGCGTATGCCGGGCTCTTTTTTCGGCTATAGATGAAGCGAAGGACGATGACGAGAGCAACAAATCCTCCAGAACCGAGAAGCAGACGAGCACGGGGTATTAGCTGCTGGATCTTGTCAATGAGGTCGTTGAAATATGAGAGATCCGGAATGGCCATAATGGTCGAGCGACAAGTTAAGAATGCCGCGCTCCAATTCAGTTGTTATTGATGGAAAGGTACAGGGACAGGCCATCAGCTGATGGTGGACTTCGGAGGACCATGTGATTCCGGTGAGTACTGATTTGGACAAAGTACCTTTCGAAATCGCCCTGAGAAGAAAAGAACACAAAACGCAGAGACCATGTGTATTGTAAGTCCCTTGAGATCTGCGTACACCTACAATCCGGGCTTGTCGCATCTAGACATTAAGAATTATGATGCCTCCGACAAACATGGCAACTACGTCTCCACCGGTTGAAAAAGAACAAAACGCAGAACACTTAAAGTTATAGCACAGTGCTGCCAGTGGTGTTGCAAACGGGCCTGTGTGGCTGTGTTCTATTCTTGCACCGTCATGTGGATCCGAGGCCCGTTCTTGTCTGTAACCAGCCCTCACTAGTACTCCCTCTGATATCGTCCAATCCTGTCCTTTCCCATCGCGCTGGCAAGCCATCCAGCAAAGCACACATTCCCCTTCTTCCGCTCATCTTCCAAAGCTTTCTACTCAAGTTCCGCCGACCATAAGCGCAGCAAGCCCCACTCGGACTCCATGGAGCCCCCCACCTCACCCATATCCAAGCCTAGCTTGAAGGCATGGTTGAACAACTTGACCTTTGCTCAGAGGGTCAAGAAGGAGACCGAATGGAAGCCAGGTGCGAGACACGCCCCAGAGTTTCGCCGCACGCTCATTCTCCCGATTAGATGAGGACGGCCCTGTGTTTGGTGTGCCACTCAAAGAGAGCCTCAAGCATGCGAGCGTGCAAATATCGACAGCTAGTACCAACGGTGATCTCTATGTGTGGGGAACTGTTCCAGTGGTAGTCGCTAAATGGTAACGTGCTACTTTGTTCCTGCCTGGACGCACACTGATAGACATTAAACGATTAGTGGCCTGTACCTCAAACTCAATGGTTAGCCTACTCGAACAAGCCCGATGATTCACTCGACTAAGGAGCATTACAGCAACTGAAGTCCCAGGCACGTTCCGTGTCAATGGCTCAAATCGA